TTATTAATTGAATAAGGAAAAATGCATTTTCCGACGGGGCCTAAATCAAATAAATGTTTGTTTGAGCGCGTACCGCAAAAACCAATTTGATTGGAATTAAAATTCGAAATAGAATAAACAAATGTCGGCGGAAAGGCATCGGCAACTCTTCTTCGGACCAACTTTCAGAGCATCTGCAGGCACAGATACACATCCCAATCCCGCCTGGGCAGATGCTGATGCCAAAGCTGATCCTTAGCTTGTGTTGTAACAAGTTAATTGAATTTGCACTCAGCCAAGCGTCATGCATTGGGGCATCATGAGCTTACGAGTGCACAGAGCGAAAATGCGGCGTTAAGTGCAACATTTTCTACAACTTTCTACAACTACAAAGATAGTGATTTAAGAGGCAAATGAGTTAAGCACATAAAGAGTTTTTAATTTATTAGTTTCAGCCATGTCAATATGTGAAATTGAGATAAACGATTTTGCCCAACTGCAGTTGAGCGAAACTTTTTCTCCAGGTGGAAAATGAGCTGGGAAAGCGGAGCTGGGCTGCCGATACAAGTTGCTTATTTTATGGCCAACTCTAATGGAGGACTCGATTCTGATTCCGGCTTCTACTTCGCTTGGCATTTGGCTTGCCGGAACCCCCCGCCTCAGCAGTGCGCCCCTCGTTTCGCCTGGATTTTTCCAATTTTGTGATTTGCACAGATTTCAACCTGACGTCCTGGGCCATCCTCTCGCTTCCGCCGGGTCCTTGGAGCTGGGTTAGTTTGTTGCCAATGCTGTGCGTCCGTGCTTATCCAGCAACATTGTCGAAGGTGAGACCCGGCTTCCAAGTGCATTAAGCGCATGTGAACGGGTGCCAAACAATGACGCCTCCAAAGCCACTCCCGCGGCCCGCCACTTTCTTCTTTCCCTGATCCCGGCAGACAAATGACTCACCAGCAGGATTCCGGAGGATTCAGGGACGTGGCACGGGGCGGCAAGTGTGTGCTTTTAGCAGATTAGTTTTCATCATCTTAACATTCCTAATTAATGAGGCCTTTGTCGCTCCTGCTCAGCTCCTCCTTAGGTGTTAAATCAAAGACCTTAGCCCGGCGTGCATGTCTGATGAGTAATGGGGAGCACGGGCAAAGTTCGTCCTTACTTTCCCGCTTTCTTCTACTTTCTTCCACTTTCTTGCAGATTCCCAGTAATGAGCAATGCAAATTTCCAGCAGCTTGTTAAATGCCTAACAATGGTGTAGTGTTCACTGGATGTTGCAAGTTGCCGCCTTCCTGTCAGCTACATTTTCTGCGCGAAACACACGCTTGCCACTCAGATATCAACGTTCAATTTGCATCTCGACATGGCACAAAATCACATTTCATAAATATCATTTCGCAACCAGCTAACACAATTCGGGATTCACAATTATTTTCGTTTGCCACTTTGATACTTTTTATTGAACCCGATGCGCAGTCATTAACACGCATCCGTGGCACTTAATTAGGCCTGGAAAATGGGAAATGTTTGCAGTAATTCAAATGGACATCAACACTTCACTTGATGAATGGCATTTCCTCATTTGTGTTTGATATTCGAGTGCTAATAGTGGTAATAATGGCGCATAATGAGTGCCGAGGCCAACAATGAGAGCCAACTTTTAGTTAAAAGTCAACGAATCCAAAACAGTGCGAATTGCAAAAACCCAAAGTTTGTAAAACTAATTTCCTCCAACTGATGGCTGAATTTCGGGTGATGTTGAGGGCGAGGGCGGATGTCTGAGGGGAAACGTCAAAATGTTTTTGACAAGTCCAATTTTGAAATTTTCAAATTTCGCTGTAATTAACTTTCTGGCAAAGGCAATTAGCGACCGCACACAAACTCATTTATATTGTGTTGCCGGATTACAAATATACATAGAAATATGGAATTAGCAATTTATATATATTGAAAGTTTCGCTGTCGCCATCCAATGCGGTTCACCCCATTTAGCACTCCGCTCACGAAGTCTAACAATATCGTAAATAATGGAGTCAATTGCATTTTGCATAATAATTACAGTGTAAATATGTTTACACGGGAGCGGTTCGCAGTCTTTCAAAGTCAATTAGGCATGGCCAACATATTAACCACCCATTATCCTTTATAAATAATTCTGCCAGTCTCCCAATAATAATTTATACAACTAATAAAATCCACTATGGTTTCTTTCCGACGTCGGGCGCCATCCCCCCGCCCACCTGATCCGCTCCTGGCCGGGCGCCAGTCCTCCTGAGTGGCTAAGTGGAGGGCCCGGATAACTGGGTAACTGGGGAGTGTGTTAGCAGCCAGCGAGTGAGTGATGAAGCGCGTCACGTCGACAGCAGAAACAGCGGGAGGAGCCCGAGGAGCAGGAGGAACTGGAGGAACTGGAGGAGCTGGAACAGCGGGATGGCCGCCAACGGGAGCCTCGTGGAGATGCCAATGGGAATGGCAGCCGCGGTTGGCTGACATTACACTTGTCAACGGGTATAATTGCGTTAACGCTGCTCTTTCCCCACTTACCAACAGAGATGGCAGCCGTAGAGGCAAAGGATAGCTAAGAATCTATTCATTCCTATTGTTTGATAAAAATGTATCTCCAATAGCAGCGATTCTTTTGGAAAAATTTGTATTTCTGGCCAAAATAATCGAATGAATTATCCAAATCTTGAAATCTTGACTCGTAGCACCAGCAGACCGCCCACAAATTATTTAAATCAACTTGGCAAATAAATTACAACATTTTGAATGTCAAGAATGTTAAAAGCTATTGGTATTAAGTATATTTAAAAAGGGTTGTCGAAAGCTCTTTGTAACTGCGCCCAAATTGAATCCCAATTTGCTTACCAAAAATCCGTTTTTTGGCCAAAACAACCGATAAAATGGTCGAAATCTTGAATGTTATACCTTGTTGAGCTCGTAATCGCATTTCCAATCGATTTGGACCCGAATTTGAAGATTTTTTTTTTTTTCGATTTTTTGCAAATTTTAATGATGTTACCCCTTACAAAAAATGCGAAAATTGACCAAAAATCAAAATTTGTAGAACTTGCAGGATTTTGATATGGGCCGTTAGTTTGGATCGTTAGCTGTGCGAAAAAGTCGTAACTTGAGGTTTGTGACACTTTTTGGCCGAGATATGAGGAAAAGTCTCCTATTCTTCGACCAAAAAATCAGTATTTTAGCCAAAACAAGCGATAAAATGGTCGAAATCATGAGTGTTGTACCTTTTTGAACTCGTAAACACATTTCCAATCGATTGGCATTCAAATTTAAATTTCTTATTTTTTTTCGATTTTTTGCACATTTTAATGATGTTACCCCTTACAAAAAATGCGAAAATTGACCAAAAATCGAATTTTGTAGAACTTGCAGGATTTTGATATGGGTCGTTAGTTTGGATCATTAGCTGTATAAAAAAGTCGTAACTTTCGGTTTGTGACACTTTTTGGCCGAGATATGAAGAAAAGTCTTCTATTCTTCGACCAAAAAATCAGTATTTTAGCCAAAACAAGCGATAAAATGGTCGAAATCATGAATGTTGTACCTTTTTGAACTCGTAAAAACATTCCCAATCGATTGGCATTCAAATTTAAATTTCTTATTTTTTTTCGATTTTTTGCAAAATTTAATGATGTTACCCCTTACAAAAAATGCGAAAATTGACCAAAAATCAAAATTTGTAGAACTTGCAGGATTTTGATATGGGCCGTTAGTTTGGATCGTTAGCTGTGCGAAAAAGTCGTAACTTGAGGTTTGTGACACTTTTTGGCCGAGATATGAAGAAAAGTCTCCTATTCTTCGACCAAAAAATCAGTGTTTTAGCCAAAACAATCGATATAATGGTCGAAATCATGAATGTTGTACCTTTTTGAACTCGTAAAAACATTCCCAATCGATTGGCATTCAAATTAAAATTTCTTATTTTTTTTCGATGTTTTGCAAATTTTAATGATGTTACCCCTTACAAAAAATGCGAAAATTGGCCAAAAATTTTTTTCTTGAAATTCAGCCAGAATTTGATACAAATTGTTAGTGTGGATAAGTAGCTGTGCAAAAAAGTTATTCTCTTCGGCGTGTGACTCTTTTTGGCCAAGTTAGGATGACCAAATGCCAAAATGAATGGTTGGGAATCGGCTGCAAAGTGAACGTTTCGATTGTTAGCTATCAATTGGTATTTGGGTATTTAACAAGTTACATTCTTGGCTTTTAAAACTGCCAACACTGTCTTTCAATGATAAATGCAAACTGCGATGAGTGCGACTGTTCCATGACTATGTCTATGACTACGGCAAATGCCGTTGACTAGGAGCACAATACACAATAATTGCCAAGTGACGGCAACTTGGGGGCGCATCAATAACGAGTGCTTGTCACCCGGTGAGCCCACCATCCGCCGCCACCACCCATCAATCCACATCCAGCCAGTGCACCTCGGATCCACTGGAACACCGCCGGGAGCGAAATCACACCCATTTGTCAGGGAAAAGAAGTCGGGCGGCAAACGGCCAAGTCCACGTCCACGGCGACGGCGGCGACGGCTAATTGCAGTTCATGCGAAAAACATCGTTAATCACTCATTGACAGTTTGTTATTTGTTAAACAAAGCTAATGACTTAATGGCATAAATGGTGTGGCAACTGCACCACGGCCCAAAGGATATCGAAAGTCGAACCCGGTCGGAGCAGCAGAATAAATGACACGACAGCTCAGCTCTGTTCTGTGTTCTGTGTTCTGTGTTCTGTGTTCCCTGTTCTCCGTGTTCCGTAGTTATGTAGATAAACAATAAGCTGACAAGCCGGGGCAAAATTAATTGTCCTGGACAGCTTGGGTGGGCGGAAGGACTGGAGGAGGGGCACGGCCTTATGGATGATCACGATATGCCCCTGGGGCGAAGCAACTAGTTAGAGGCAGCGAAGGAATCCCTCGTCCGCCGGGACATGTGGATTGCCAGCTAGAAACAAAAACTATGACTCTTGGGCATTCTGTAAACGAGTTGTTGAACTAAATTATTTAATAGCAGTGTACCTATATTTCCAAATAGACAAGTATTGCTACTCATACGGGTCATCCATATCCAACCGGCTGGACAAGGGTCTCTCGCGACCTCTTCTGTAGACCTGTCTTAACCTCCGATCTATTCGGTGTGGATCTTCCTCATCCTCCTCCTCCGGCACCGAAACATGGGTTTGAATAAGCGTTCTTCTGTTGCTAACCGCCACTCGGCGGGCGTACTCCATATTCCGCATGTGCATGACCACGGTGTCCGGCAGATGGACTACCTCCCGCCGGACAGGATGTTGCAGGAGCGGCACGGAGGGGGCGAGGGCGATCGTGCGGGAGGGGCACTGGGTGGCCAGGTTGCGCTGAAAGCGTCCCAAGGGCCTCGTGCGGATCTTATACTTGCAGCAGTTGTCGTGGAAGACCTTTGATTTCTGAGCTCTTGGACGAGGAGGACACTTCGAGTGGTTGTGGGTGCGTTTATTGCTTGGGAACCGCTTTACTTTAATTTTCTGAGGAGGATGGCCATTCGAGTGCACTTTGACTTTCTTTCTAGTCTTGTGGCCTTTGCGTCCCATTTACTCGCTGTGATAACAAACAATTTGGTTAACATAATCTGATGATTACTCTGATATTTTTGATTATTTCGTTTTCCAAAGCCTTTGCGATGAACCTAAAGAAAAACTCGCCAGCATCGTATTCCTTTGCAATCATAGTAGGTTTTTCCCACCACTGTCGGAAGTCTGGGTAGTTTCCCATTCCATAATTCATTCGTATTTATTTCATCGTAGGATTCAGATCTATTGGTAGAAAGTAAAAACAAAAATTCTAAAAATTTTAGTTCTATACAAATTTGGAGTGACTTATTTTTAAAACACTTTCGGAATATCACGAGTTTTCCACACACTGAAAATGAATTTTTGCTCGGTGCCCTACGAAGCTGATTACGGCATGTACGCCGATTCCAAGGTACACATAAGTGCTTTGGCCTTGTAGTTTTGGATGTTTCATGTTTCCCATGTTCCAGATGAAAAGCGTTCCTCAGTACCCCATAAGCATGGGTGCCAGTCCGGGTCAAGGGCAGTCCCTGGCCATGCAGCCCCTGAATCCACCGCAGATGAATCTGCAGATGCAGATGCCCATGTCCCAGTCGGGCGCTGCGTCGTACCCGATGCAGGGTATGCCGCTGGGCATGATGCAAGGAGGAAATCAGATGACGCCCATGTCCACGATGAGCACCCAGCTGCCGATTGGAGCGGTGACGCCCCTGAACAGCATGACCATGATGCCCATGATGGGCAATCCCATGGGCGCCATTGACGCGCCCGGGATCAATGCAGTGCTGCCCGACCTGCAGCCCATGAGTTCGATGGGTCAGATGCAGGCGCTGCAGCCGCTGCAGCAATACAATCCAACTGGATCCACCACCCAAATGCATCAGGGTCGCCTGGCGGGCGGCTGCAGTACTGGGATGGCTGCGCCCTGTCCGTCGTCGCCCACGAATCCTGGCAGCTGGAGCTCCAGTCCCAGCTCCAACCAAATGATGACCAATGCCAATATGTGGCAATACAGCCAGCCCATGCAGGGTCACCAGCCGCAGTACCAGCAGCTGCAGCACTTCCAGCAGCAGAACCAATCCCAGCCGCAGGTCAGCCGGATGAAGCCCTCCTACGACGCACCCATCTACCGGGATATGCGGAACGGCCTGAAGTAAGTACATCTCGCCCACGGGCTCGGCATCCTAATTCGATCCATAGCAATCCTTTTTAATGTCTGACCCGTAGCACGCCATCCATGCACGATTCTTCGAAGTACAGCAAAGGCAATCAATCATTCAATTGTGGTGAGTACTCAATGTTTTTATATAAATGGTTGTCCGCTCAAGGGAGCGTCCGCATAGACAAGTTCTAATTTAGTACTATGTCTTCCTTTCAGGAAAAGCGATCACCAAGGTCCCCCATTGGCGTTGACGAACCCTTGAGCCCATCATTAGTTGTTTTTGTACTTTTGCATGATTGGTGTCTCTTATTTGCACAATTTGTTCCAAGACTTCCCCTACGCAAGCAAACAGATACTCAAACCCACAAGAAACACAGACATGGTCGCCAGCATATTGGTGTGGAATAAATGGTTTATATGTTATGGCCGAAAAGGAATTATTCATTCGTAGTTTTTCGTCCAGCGACTTTAAGCGCCCTGATTTATGGCCATCAGACATCAAAATTGGCAACATGTTCGCGGCAAACGGAGTGGGGGGGCTCAGCGCAGGAAAATTGGACGAGGGAAAGCTGGAATGGCTATGAAAAATTTATGCTGACCGCATGATGAACGCATAAAAAGTGTTGCCAACTTATGGCCAAAATGCAATCCACAACCCAGTCGCTGTGCGGCGTATAAACAATGGCTTTATCGGGCAAAGGCATCAGTTGGTTGGCTTTCTCCCCTCCCTCCATTCCGTGCCCAAAATCCCCTTTCCTGCATCCCTCCAGAGTCGTTAGATTCTGGCCCAGCCGGGCCAAGGTGTGAATATTTTATGTGGCACTATTTTGATACCATAAATCTTTTAGTAGTTGATTCAGCAAAGTTCTGCGTGTTGCCGCATTTCGTTCTGTGGTTTCGGCTCAGTTTCTTCAGTTTCTGCATTTTGCATTTGTATTGCTGCCTTGCTTTTGATTGATTAACTGGGCTATTTAATTTAGATTGCATATGCGTTTCGGGCTGATAGCACTGGCCACCCTTTTCGCTCCAAATTTGCTTCCTCAAATACAAGAGGGCAATCATCTCGCCCATTGGGAGCAGAATGCGCAAATCCCATAAATTGCACATACCCGAAATTGTTTTTAGCTGAGCGGCAAGCAAGCTCTTAACATTTTTCAGAACGCATCATTAAAATTAAAAGAATGTAAAATGGTAAAAAAGGAAGCCACAAAAGCAGACAGCTGAATGGACGTTGAATGGACAATTTGAAAAGTTTTGGGCAAGGAAACTGCAGCCCAGGACAATGTGAGTGTTCCAACTTTGGGTGAGAAGTTTTACGTAGTGCGGGCAGAGCTGGGGGAGGATTGTCAAAAGTTTTCGGTGGAGCACTACATAGTTCTCCATGCGCTGCAGCTGCCCTCTGGATGCAGAATTTTATTCATGACGGAAGCAATACTCAAATTTCGTCTATTAATATCTGGGAAAAGGGTTTCTGGGGGCGCCGGAGGATTCCTGGCTCCAGCTGTCAGCCGGAGCTGGGACCAACTTCCAGGATCTCTGCGTATAGCAACATCTGTCCAAGTGCCAGTCCAACTGTCTGTTTGCCTAGCTGACACACACACATACCGTCTCTCCTCTAAACAAATGCGCATACAGATGTGGTCAGATGCGGTTGGTGGTGCGATGCACTCGAAACAATAACTGATGAGTTGTGATCTTCGCATTGAATTGCGAGAAAAACCTGCGCTAGCCAATCCATTCATTACACATGATTCCCCCATTCGCATCTAGGCATATTTGTTCATTTACCAAGATTTTTTTCCAGTGCCAGTTAGCCCGGTTGCCCATTGCTAACGTAACCTCAAATTGCATTCCTAATTCCTTTTCTACCCCATCTCATCCCAGTTCGCCGGGGGAGCACTTTCTGCAAAATGTGCAATTTCCGCCTGAAAGGCTGGATGGCTACAATCCATCCCCGAATTCCTGGAACTATTTTGCAAAACAGAAATTTATTACAGCCATTTTATTATTTTGCGGCTAACTTCATGTTAGCCCCAACATGCATGCGTCATATTATTGTCTGAAAGTGGAGCGGAACGGAAGTCATTCAGTCAACCAGTCAGTCAGTCAGTCAGTCATTCAGGTGAGGTGGCAGAAACACTTTTCCTCCGAAGAAACCAGGCGCTAAAATATTCTGGCCACTTACACAGCGCAAATGTTTTGTTTCGAATCGGTGAGTGAAACGAGAGCTGCCGGCTTTTTGTTTTGCAAATGAATAATTAAAAGTAGATGAGCTTTAGCTTTACTGAACTATGTAAACTTGGTTGTTTATCGATGCAATTACCTAGATGATTCTGAAATGCCTGTGCATTTCAGTTTATATCGCAGCACTTCGCGGAAGCCACGAAAGCTGGGCTTTCAAGTTTGAAAGGTGCATAAAACTATGCTATAAATCAGGGTTCATTCGGCATATCAGCCACAAATGCTACTAGAATCTTGGGATTATATTATTTGAGATTCATTCACTTATCCGCAGCTTACCGACATTCAGAACACTTAAAATCGCTCTAAAATACTTAAGCTGCTGTTTGTCAATTACCATTTACACTGCCAGCTTGTTGGTTTGATGTCGAGAAATGTTGTGTTTTAACCCCAGCAAAGGCAAACTTGTGGCATCTACAATGAACATGAATTTTAACTTGTCGTTTGTTGCATTTGTCAACTGCTGTTGTTTTTGCAGCCAGTTCCTGTGGCTCCTGTCCATGTGCCACTCCTCGCTATTGACAGAGATCCGAGGGCTAAACTCATTCGCACTCGGACGGAAATGTTTGAGTCCCCGGTGTTCGTTTGTCCGTCTCTTTCTTCCCCCAGCCGGCCATCTCTTTCATCGCCGTTCAATGCGTCTCTTTCGCACGCTGCAGCTCAGTGGACAAAGTTCGTGTGCCTTGTTTTAGAATTTGCAGTCTGCTCTTCAGATTGTTCGCCCCAAACCGGCTGCCTGTTCTATGTGGGCCAAACTTTTTGAAACTGTGCCAACTTTTGGCTTGTTTTTGCCTGATAACTTCATCATCGTCGACGTCCTCTCGTCATTCTCATTCTCATTCCCATTCCCATTCGAGTAGAACCAGGAAAAAAATAGTGCAAAAAAGCCAGCTCACAAAGAAAATGAAAACTCGTTGGCCAAATGTTTTGTCATGATTTTCCCCCTCCACATGGCCTGCTCCTCCCTCGTTTGGGCTCTGCCTCATGGACTCCTGTCTCTCTGTCAATGAAAAATCTGCAAGTTGACTGGGCATGCACATCACTTGGCCAGATTATTGAACATTCAAGTCGGAGCGATTGAATGCCAGCTCAAAACTGGTTTTAATATGTTGCTAGACATTCAGTAAAACCAGACATGAATAAACGCTATCTGTTGTGGACTTAATATTTTATATTTCATTTACCAGTTGCATCGAAACTATTCACGTAATAAAATTTGCTTTGTAGTGCATAAATTGCGAGAGAGCCATAAACTTTGTTCGAATCGGAGAAATTCGAGATATGAAAGTTCATCCATGGACCATTTTCCACCTGAGCTAATGGCTCTTTGTTTTTGCACATTTTGTAGCTTTGAGTAATTAAATTTATGGATGCATGAAATGGCAACCTGTTCGAACTGCTCCGCCCTCTCCAAACGTCTGACTTTTTCGGCCATGTCCATAAATGTCCGGCCGCAGTTCGGACTGTCCATTTGGGCCACATCCATTCCACGTCCAATGAGCGGCTTATGTGCGCCCGATGCTGCTTTGCTGGCTATTAATTTCGAGTGGTTCGGTTCACTTTCGGGCCCATGTGTACACATGTTTGGCTTGTAAAAATGTCATGTTAATTTGTGGATTGTGCGACCGAAATGGAGCACCGAATGAGAGCCAAACTCGGGCGAAGGCATGCAAATAAATGTCTCGCACCAGCCACCCACTCACGGGCAGATGCACCTGGAGAAAAGCCCAGCGATTCTATGCATATATGTATTCCCAAAAATGTTTGCACACCTTTAGGAGCAGTAAACTACTTCAACTTCAGGTGTTTATAGTCACAATGGGTTTCTTAACTTGTATTTGGCATTTTAAATTTGTTTTAGATCAGCATGCCAGCATTCTTTCCTGTGTATTTCGGCCTCACACAGATACTCTCACTCGCACACAGACACACCCGCCCACGCACCGCAAAGGAGCGAAAGAGACGGGAATCACGGCTTTGGAGACGGGCTTTTTGTAGATTTATGAGTGAATCTGATAAGTGCTGCCAATAAATTTTCGGACAACAATTTACAATGTTCAGTCCATGTTCTTTTCCCTACGTTTTCCATGGGGGAATCGACTGAAGCTGGGATTGCCTTGGGTAGCGTATTTTCGTTTATTTTATAGCATTACTGGTCGAAAGGAGGCGGAATGAAGATGCCGGAGTGCCGAGTATCAAAAAATAGGTAATAATAATATTAGTCAGGCTTGAAAAGTGATATCAAAGGTACTTCAATTGGTAAGGAAAAAAACGCCCAAAAAGCTAAACATCTATTTCAATTTATTTTAGTGATTAAAATGTTTTTCTGGAGCAGTATAGATATATTTCAATAAGGTTTTTCCACTTGCATACTTGAAGAGTATTCTATGGCTAACCTCATGTCCACCATTTATTTGTAATCCATCCAATTACTATATTTCTCGAGGACTTATCACAAAGTTGCTGCAGCTCGCCAAATGAACAAGTGCCCATACATTGCGCATACGTACGTATACGTAATGTAATCACAAGCACTGCCACACTCGCACTTACACTCACACACCCAGGAGCATCAACAAAACCCAACAATGGCAACAAAACCACAGAGAAATCAGTGAATTATACAACATTTAAGCAAACACAGAGTGCCAGCGCTCGCTGGCTCGTTCGAGAATGCATAGAAACCCAGCAGAATTAAGTTAAGGCGCTTCCGACATCCTTTCAGGATCCTCCTCCGGCCCCTAGAAAACACAATGGAGCTAGTGCCACGGCGAACAGCACAAGTTGGCCAAAAACTTTGCACACTGCCAGCTGAACGGGTTCAGGCCTACACTGACAAAAACAGTACACTGATGAGCCAATCAGTGATGTTCGAAACTATACGAGCCTATTCAGCATTTCGGAAATTGCTTCCCTCAATTTCAACTGTAAAGTCTTTCTTTTTGGAGAATATGCTTTTCTGTATCAGTTTTGAGTGTATTAAATATCCATCGAATTGATCTTGATTTCTTTGTCTGTATGGTGACTGAAAGAAACCATCGCAGCAGAAGTGAAATAAAGTTGAATGTAAGCAAACAAGTTGAACCAACAAACCAAGTCTCTAATTGTATTTGTGTGCGTGCGTGTGTGTGGGTGGGTGGTGGCGGTACGGGGGCGTGGCAGTGTGTTTTATGCGGCAAACCGGAACGCACCACTTTGGTGCTACAAAATATGAAGAAGCCAAATCAGCGGGAGAGCTGACGAGGAGACCGGAGCCAGTCCGAGTCCAACAAGACGTGAAATGCAACTTTTTCGGCACAGCGCTCGAGCACAAAAGCCTGGACAAAAACACACTCGCACACTCGCACACTCGCAGCCAACAGGACACAACAACACAACAAGGAAGCCAACAGAAAGCCGTGCAAATGCACAAAAGCCAAACAAGAATGCCAAGCGAAAGGAGTCCTGCGCAAGGAGCCTTCGCATTCCGCATATCCTCGCCTTCAAGCACCCTCCATTCGAGGCGGAGTTTTGCGGCACGTTGAGGTGAAGCACTCCGGGATCGCAGCCTAAGCCCCGCCAGCTGCGCCCGAATCCGGATGTCGTCCGTCGAGGCACAAAACAGAAGGAACGAATAAGCCACGAGCCAGAGGACAGGAAACTCGGGAGCGCAAGGGGCGCCATTAAGATACATTTTAGGGGAATCCGATGGTTGCGATTTTCAGATAGTTTATCCACATCTTTAAACTAGAATTATTAACAGCTGTTAATTAACTAGTTTACAAACACATCTGTTGTGTAATACTCCCTAGGAAGGGAATCAAATGTAGATAATCACAGCCTTATCCACGCGTGTTAGCCAAAGGCGACATATACCTCTGCCAGGACAAAGGACAAAGTACAGCAATCCGGAAATATGGCAACGAAAATGGAACAATCGAAGTGAAAGGCACTTGGGGAGTGGCAAATGGGAAACAGGATGCAGAGAAAGAAGCTGCGACATGAGTACATTTGTTTATGTGGAGCCCGAAAAGATGGAGCAACCACATGCACAGCCACAGTCTGCTCCTCCTCCGCCTCCGCCTCCGCCTGCTCCTCCTCTCCATCCCAGAGGACTCCTTCGGCTGGCAAGCGTTGAAATGGAACAAATGAACTAAGTCGAGAATTGCCAACTGCACACTTGAGTCGCACAACGAAGTAAGCCCCACAAAAGGAGCAGCCCGAACAAATGATTTCACAAGAAAAGTTAAACTTGTAAATTCAAATTTCACATTTGTCTGGAATTCGCAATTACACTTTGGCAACAACAATGAAATATGTCCTGGGTTGGCACATCGCTACACCTGCCCAAAAATCGCCGGATTTGGTCTCAGGTTCGGGCTGGCCCCCAACATTGCCCCTCTAATCCACCTCCCAGCCCAATCTTCACGGCTCATTGTTCGGGCTGGCAAATGGAGCATGGTTGTGGTGGAGCAAACGGGGAGCGGGGTAAATGGGGAGCGCCCGGTTGCCTCCTAAAGCATATTGTAATAATCCAAATGAAATTAAATGTACCGTAAACATTTCGAATTGCGATTGCTTCAAGGATCTGGCATTCCGCAGCAGCAACATTGAGTTGACCGACTAAAAGATACCCCCTACCTATTAATTCGACGAAATATCAACTGATAATGTGCAATACTTTAAGATGTTGTACAATGCGAATATTGTTATAGGCCTTATTCAATATTTTATTAGTATGCCAGAGCTAGACTAAAGCCGGGTACGGAAAGTGAAGTAACTACTAGTCCATACCCTGTACAGCCACGAACAATGTCAGGTGCACGCGGTGCTCCCACGGGTGAGCCAATAAAAATGTCGGTAATTGCAGATGCGAAGCATGGCCAGAATCCGGATTGGGAATGGCAGAATAGAATGTGGGGATAGCCCATCCCCGAGAGGGGTCCACACTAGCTGGTTGGATGTGGAATGCAAGTGGTGCAATTATGAGGCGGTTTCTTTCAAAACACTTTGAGATCTACATAGCTGGGTACAATTTTGCAGATTGTCTCGACCATATTTAAATTGAAATGCTAAATGAATTTGTTATATACCAGGAGCTTACGCTGTTAATGATATTATGCTGAGCTGGGGCTGACAATTTACTGATAATTTATTTGAAATTCCTCAGTAAACTGCCATCAAATTAGCCTGCAACAACCCGCCATCATCATCATCACTCGCAAACATGGCAAATTACCACCCACAGCCACGTAAATCACCATAACCATATTTCAATCGCTAGCCAGCGATCCGAATCCCCCAGCGATTTGTGCAACTATTCAATTGGCCCGACTGGATGGCAAAGAGGCATTAAATTAGCGAAATCGGCCAGGTAAAAATAAAGAAAACGATCGACTTAAGTAAAAGCCGGCCGCCAAATTGCACATTTTACAAGTTTACGAACCACTAAGCGGAGCCAGCAGGATCGCCTTTTCTCGAATTTATTTCTAAAACAACTCTATCGCGATCACCTGGCGACGCTGTGCGGCCCATAAAGCCAGCGATTTATTGGCCAAGTCGGCAACAATTTGACAAGCAAATTGCTATAATTTCTGGACATTGCCAGTGGGGGGAGTCCCCCGATCGCCGATTCCTCCCAAGAATGCTGTGTGGACATGAGCAGTGCTTTTTTCGCGCTTTTATCTGCGCAAAATTTATGCTGGCGATAAAGCCCCAACGACTACTGGACTGGAACCTCTTCTTTTCTCTGGAGGAAGAGCCCGGGCAGGAGGAATCACGTGGCCCAAGGCTGGCATCTAATTGCATGGCCATTCGGATGGATCGGCGCTGTCCGTTGAATTGCCATAATTTCGCTGGCCTTACGAGCTGCCAGGGAATCTGAATCTCCTCCACAGTTCTTGAGCGACCACACATATGTACATCAGAATCAGAAAAGTCGAGTGCCACTCTGTGCGCAAAAGTTTTCGGCGATCACTTGGACTATTAAATCGCAATTAAACGCGTGACGTGTGGTCCCCAGGGTGCATAAATCCCAGGCAGATCCCAAAGAAAATACAGAAATGGCAATCATCATTAAAAATGCAAAAGGCATAAAATTGGCCAGAAAGCCCAGAAATATAAATGATTTCCTTGGGCCTCATCAGAGGCGGCGATAAGGAAATGTTCTCCTTTTCCTTCGAGTCGTAAAATATCCAGCGAAAACTCTGCCGACAGCGTCATAAAAATTAAAAGAAAATCACAATCTTGGTTTGTTTCTGTCGCCTTTGTTTGCCGTTTCCTTAAATTTAATATCATCTCATACTGTCCAACAAAATAAGCCACTTTGAAAAGTAAGCAGGACAGAATTTCGGACTAATTGTTGCTCAGTGCGTGCATTTGGGAATTACGACAGTTGGGCTTTTGATGGCACTTAGAAAGCCGTTAATCCTAATTTTATGCATCCAGTCTGTTGGCCTGGCCAAGCCAATTTAATGGCTCACTTCCCATGGCTCATAATAATGTTGGTTCCTTGCTGATTCATAAATTTGCGTTAGGCGGGGAGAAAAGGAAATACAAATGGGTGCGAGCTGGGATCATTCACAGGTCCCCAAAGCAACAAATTAATGGGCTGGGACCAGCCGGATGGTCAAGATTCTTTGTTAAAATTGACGGAACAAGCTAAATGTGTCAGAGTCAACTATCAACTGTCAACTATAATTTAAAATAACGTTTTGATTTCTGCGGAGCATTTTTTATCACTGATTTCCAAAGTCGATTTAATCAAAAATCGATTACTGCCTTATCGATAGTTGGATGCCGCTATCAAAGCACTTACCTACACTGAAGAGCGCCAAAAAAGTTGTGGAGTGAAAACAATAGTTGCAAATTGTTATTGATATGTACGGAAATAATACGCTAAATAAAAACCACACGATTAAATTCATCACAGTGAGTTGTATTCATATTGAGGACAGGAAGAAATGACTTAAACGATATATCCCATTAGTTGAAAATCAACAATTGCCTAGGCTGCGATGAAGTGGAAATAAACTTCTCGAAAGCGGACAATGTGCACATGATCATCTACAGTTTGGTCAAGGATCTGCCGGAGGATCTACCGGCCATAACTCCGGTGGCCCAGGCCATCCTACTCCTCTGCTCCCTCACTTATCCGGATGCAGAAAGTCTGGAGACGATTCCGCAGCTGAAAATCGGCAAGGGCAATGTCTCCATGACCTTCGAAATGCATCCCGTGCATAAAGAAGGGGCCACGGAGCAAGCTCAGGAGCCGGAGCCGGATAGCGACCTGGATGACGGCCCCTCCACCTCGAGGCAGGCCATGGAGCGACTGGAGCAGCGCGCAGAGCGCAGGGCCAATGAGGCGACTTTTAGCAACCTGTATTCCAAAGTCACCCACGTGACCGTAGAGCGCAGATTCGATACATACTTCTCCCTGGACACCGTTTCCTATCAGATTGATGGCGGCTCCCGCCAAACGTGCCTCCTCCAGGAGTTCCACGCCATGTTCTTTGTGCGGCCCCAGCACTCGATCAATCTCCTGAGGCAGCTGCATGAGAAGTGCTCCGGCAACTGGCTAAAGGTCATCCAAAGCGACGGCGACGGTGACGCCTTCAGAAAGTTCAGGTAGGTCGAGCCACTCTGAAAGTATTCCCATTTATTGAGTACTAACCAACACTTACTGCAGAGATCCCGACAGCCCCTTCGAGACCTTTGTGAAGCTGTTCGATTCTAACCCAATCCAAACAAACGATGTGATCTGCAAGTTGGTCAAAACCTGCCTGCACGTCAATGAGGCAGTGCGTCTGACGGAGCGGGAATTTATACTGGAGGTCTTCAACCAGGTGCGCCACATTTTCGAGTACATCACGGCTCAGGAGTACACCGTATGGTTCCTGGTCCCTTGCCTAAATGACAACGGACAGCAGAGTGACGCGGTAAGCACATCTAACAGCTAGTTTTCCTAGTTTTAATAACTAGTTTTCCTCTATTCACCAGTCCCTCGAAGACTTTGATTTGACCAAAGTGCGAACCTCCATTCGACCAGCCGGCGACACCACCAACATTTGGTGGGATCATACTGATCACAACATCAAGGATATTCTATTGGTGGCCTTTCAATTGGACCTGGCCACCCATGTCAATCAGTCGGTGCTCGTTATTAGCCATTTGGAAACGGTTTGTACACGAAACAATACATTTAGTACCCAAGTCAAAGGATCTGTCTCGTTTATGTAAACAGCTCGCGGAGTTCTCCACCATGCAATATGTGACGGCCTTCTTTATGAACGACTTCTACGCCAAGAAAGACACGGATACCGTAAGTTACCTACCTCACAGATAATTAGCACAGCTAAATGAATACATGGTATAATTTGCCTCAGAAATGGATCTGCCACCGCTACTTGGAGCGCATCGTTGATGTGGCCTTGTTCCTGGGCGTAATCGTCATCATCGAGTACCCCAGTGCGTTCACTCTATTGCAGGAGGGTCGCCACTTGATCAAGTGCTTCCAGAAGGAAATCCCGGAATCCTCGGGCACCTTGCATTGGGAAATATTCGAAGATGTGGTTAAGGAAACCGAGTCCGACCTCGAGTTTCTCAAGGAGGCCGTGAGCAGAGACCAGCAGAACATGTAGTCTTCACATGAATGCACTAGGTGAGTCATATTATTCCCAAACATGGCACATATACATACCAACTGACTTGCGTGCAATTCCAGCTTCGCCTCGAACAAATTTCATTTATCTGCCGTCTGCGGCTTTCACACGCAAATATTTCCATGCTCATTTTCTAATTACGCCAGCGCTCACGGTCCGACTTCACTGCGGCTGAAAAACCATTCTTTAGCTCCATTTCAATTAGGGTTTTGCCGGCTGTCAGCTCGAGTGCCACTGGTGGCGCAGTCGAGGGTCCTTGCACCACCATCTGCAGCACCACCGACCCACAAACTGCAACTACAATGGCTGTCAGACGAGAAGCACGCGTCATTTGCCGGCGAAATGCATTTGCGCTAACCAAGACCATTTTTAGCCAAAATCACCCGGTGACCCAGTTGGAAAGCCAAGAGCCCGAAGATACATCCTGATGGAATGCTGACTGACTGACTGACTGACGGACGGACTGACTTGAGTGATTGGCGGTTGTTGGGGCAATTATTTCGGACGCTGAAGGGGACATCATCCTCTTGCAAACACAATCTTTAGTTATACATTCTCTATATTCTTTAAAATAGTGGGCGAGGCGAAGATTTTTCCACCTAAAGTATTAGTCTATTACACGGAAGTTGTTTTATAATTATGAAATCCGTTTATATTAATTTTGCGTTACTTAGAAATAAAGAGATGTTAAATGAAACTAAGTGCACCCCACATTTTCGAATAGATTGAGTAATTATTTGGGATCTGTGGGCTGTATTTCCAGCAGGTATGTAAATGCAATTTGTAATTTATTAACAAATGTCTGGCCGCAGGCTCACAATGTCGAGGCATCTGTTCGCCTACCCAGGTCTTAAGTGATGGAAAAAAGCATTAGACAGGTTTTGGCGGCGTTGCGTGCCACATTTCGCACCTCGCCGGCTGCCATCAAAGTGCACCTGACCCCAAAAGATGTACATGAACATTGCGAAATAAACAAATGCAGCCTTTGGCAGTGTGAGCTTAGTTGCAATCCGAAAGTTTGTGGCTTTAGGTTACTTTGTAGTTGGGCGTTTTCTGCTCCGGCAACCGGAAAATGCACCCAAAATTGCAAGAGGAGCATTTTTGTTCATGAACTGCAAACTAGTTTCTGATGGATGTTATCGAGACATACGGTGTATTATTTATTAGTATATATTACAAATTGATCAAAGCGACCAAAAAATTGTTTTATGGTCGCATGAGGGTCAGGACTTGAGGCATTGTCACAGGTAAAACCGCCTAATGATGTGGAGTGGATCTACCGTCTACTACTACTACTACTACTTTTTCACAACCAGGGCTGAATAGCCCACACTGACGCACCACTCGAGGAGTGACAGTGGATCACAGAGCCGCCTCCTGCGCCTGCTCCTCCTCCAGCTCCTGCTCCAGCTCCTCCTCCAGCTCCTGCTTCTCCTCCAGCTCCTGCTTCTCCTCCAGCTTCTGCTTCTCCTGCTCCTTCTCGAGCTCCTGTTGCTGGTGATTTCGTATACAGCTGGGTGATGCGCACATTCGAAAGTTTGGGGAGCCTACTGCGGAACTTGGGCTTTTCGCAGTTTTCGTAATGCAGTTTGTAGCACCAACCGCAGACCTGGCTCTCGATTATGAGCTCATCCTTCCTCCGCTTGGCAAAGTGCACCATGTACTCATTCGGATCGTCGACCTCGTGGTTAAAGGCGGTGCAGAAGCGTGACCTGAAGGTCGGCCTTCCGGAATGATTGGCCATCTGCCACGGATAAATCATATATTCCAATTTTCGGTGCCTTAAATGCGCTACTTACTTAATGTTCTTCACTATTGTGGAAAAGAGTAAGACCGTGGCTCGATTAATCACTTATACCAGATATCAAAACTCTAAATTTTAACATTGTTAACACTAAAGCACAATGTTCCGCTACTTTAAGTATTTCCGTATACGCATAGTGAATTTAAATGTAATTTGCATCTACATATATCATTTGAAGAGCGACAATTGAATGGGTTAGATAAAGGAAAACTATACTTAATAATAAGGTATATATAATAAGGTATAAGGTAGGGTAATCCGCCCTCAAATAATAATATGTTTCTGCCCATCTCTGCGTTCGAAACCATTAGTTGCCCGCGAAATCTTGGCTGAAAACCATCGACATGGCAAACGGATCTGTTTCCAGTATCTTCGGCGACTTTTTGACCCAATCCCTAACCCACGACCCACTCACTGACCGCTGGCAGCTGCTAAAAGCGCCAGCGAGTATTAAAAACTCGTTTCGACTAAATATTTAAACAGTTTATTATGCCGGAGCCCCGATGCCAAAGCTTGCCACACATGTGGGCGTGGCAGTGCAGCCCGCCGCCACTCACTTGCCACCCACCATGTAAAATGGCGCGTGCATTGCGCCAAAAGGAAATTCAAATTTGAATTAATTATGATGCCACGCCTGGCTGCAGGTCCCCGTGTCCTCGTTCCCGTGTCCTGCCAGATATTGCAATTTGTTGCTGTTTTTGCCACTGCTGTCGCTGTGGTTCTGCGGGTCCCCTGCTCTCAGTTCCCTGCTCCCAGTTCCATGCTCCATGCTCCGTGATCCCTTGCACATGGTTGGGGCATTTGTTGCATTTACCAAACAACAAATAATAGCACTTACCGCCCCTCGGGCCGCGTATTTGTGTGTGTGTGTGTGCGGGGGCTGTTATTTAATTTTTTGTTTAACAAAATGCAAACAACATAAGCAGCTTGACGGTGGTTTAAGGTCTCTGGCCGCGTGAAGTGAAATGTTTTGGAAAATTTGGCCAGCAAACAAGAGCTCAACCCCGAGTGGCCTTTAAATTAAATGTTAGTATTCAGCGGAAATTGGGCCGACTTTCACTACTTTGGGCCAGCGAAGATTGTTTCCAGTGCAGTATGATGCTATGAATGTTTTAAAGCCATTACCCCTTAAATATATTACCCGATGGTGATTCGTTGTGCCAGCCATTTTCCACGCATTGGCGCCTTAAACAAAAACTCCACTTTCGGTGGAGATGCGCGCCCCAAAGTCATTAACATTTAACCAATGAAGGCACCGAGGTGGGCGAAACAGGTGAAATCAGCCATTCAATGCCTCAACCAGCAATCGATGCCACAAAAACAGCCAGGAAGAGCAACAATCGCTGGCGCCAAAAAAGAGAGAAGCGGAATATCAAATTGCAACGCAAAAGTGCAGGCCTTAATGCCACAAACGGTGAATCACGCTCTATCAGATACCCTGTAATAGCCTACCAGTAGCAAATATTGCATACGAGTGCACATAGTCTTTGATATTTTGACTAGATTTCATTAATTTTCCGTTTTCCCGCTCTATATATTCGAAGTCTTCACAAAGAGGGTATGAGATAGTGTTGACAAAAGCGGCGTAAGCGCGAGTTTGGTTCCTGCATTTGCGTTTAATTACGGAATAATCCAAAGCGATTGTGGAACAGCAAAATCGATATGGAGTGGTAAGGGTGGATGGGCGGTAGTTCCGGGCGACTGTGGCCATCCGTGTCATTCCCAATGATCCAGCAGCGGACAGGCCGTTGACGTTGCTAACCCAATTAAACTGTCGCCCGACTGAGCAGATAGCATCCTTGCCCCCATGGAGTCCATGCTCCTCGGCCACCCCCACTGCATTGGCGCCGGCACCACATCGACCGAGTAGCAACTGTTGGGTCTGCCGTGAACTGGCACTCTGCCCAAATAAACCGCAGGAGCAAAAGCCACCGCTCCATGGCTTCCCCCGCTCATTCGCTTCGTGGCGCTTCAATAGCAATTTGGTTAAACTCCTTTTTAATTTCAGCCGCACTTCCGTCTACTCCTTGGAGTAGAGCCAACCCAGAGATGTCCTCGTGAGAGCAGAATATAGAGTACAGGTGCTTTTATAGCCGCTTACAGCAAGCCTTAAATACAATATGCATCCAATAGCAACTATTTTAAAATGCTAATCCGAAGTAGTAAGCGCCGCTGATATCCTCTTTCGTTTTCCGTTTCTTTTTACAGCTGCGACCTGAAATTGAATCGAATGTTTTGTTTGCCCCAGTCCTTGAAAGTTCCGCCACCCAATATCCTTTGCATTCCTGCGGCAGGAGAATTTTCAGCGTCGTAAACGGGAAAATTTCATTAGCATCAGGCTAGACATCATCTGCCGAACAAAAGACGGCGAAAAGAAATCTCCGGAATGAAATCATTTTGCTCCGGCGTCTGGGCGTAATAAAATTTGGCTAAATGTGCGCAGCGTGTCCTGAAAATGTCGGGCAACGAAAAAAGGCGTCCTGCGAAATCCCTCTCAATTTGAAGCTCTTTTAATTGTATTTTTGGGGCGTTTGAGCCATATTTGTAATGTGCAAATATGCGAATATTGTTCTTCCAGAGCATTCATATATATACATATATATCTGTATTACCAACTTTCCCTGTTGACTCTCAACATTGTGCGTTGACTTTTATCAGCGGCCTTGAGCGGGTTCAAGACACTTGACTTCAGTTTGCCAGCCGGCTTTGTTGAACTTCTTCAAAGTTGGGCAAACAAATGCATTTCCCTTGTGCTCATGCAATTTTGCCAGGCAAATCGAGCCAATTTCATCCATCCATCCATCCATCCAGCCTTGTTTTTCTTGGCAATCGAACAAATTCCATTTGGCCGGGCTAGTACAGCATTTTTAATTAGTCTGATTTGGGGTTTCACTTTGCAGTTTAATTGAAATCGATCGTTTATATCGGCTGCATGAGCGAAAACAAACATAGGGTCAATAAATATTTTGATTTAATTAATAATTGCTTCCAAAACCTGTCGATTAATTTGATAAATGCCATTTTCTGAACTCACAGATAGTCCTTAAAAATAACGCCAGTAAATAAATATTATTGTAAGCCCTAGCTTTTTCAGTTACCTTTAACAACTCCCGCACTTTCATAGTTTTCCTCCAGCGCCGTGCATAATAAAATATTTATTAAGTGTAAATAGGATTGCTCTGAATTATGTTGCACATTTGGGAATTTAATTATCAGCTTTTTGCTGCACTGCGTTGGCGTTGAACTCTTTCATTTGTGCTTAATTTGATGAAAAAGTAGAAAAACAACAATTGCCAATTATCAAAACAACAATTATGGCCAAATGAGTTAAACAAGTTAAGCGTGAAATGGCAAAAAATTCAATTTAAATAGTTCGCCTGCCTCTTGCCCCTGAAAAAATGTATTTATTCGCCGACGCCATTTGCTTGATGCGAGACAAACATCAGGAATTAGATCCTCCGGCGAAGCACTCGTTTCATCACGGTTCCTGGACGGAAAGCTGGGAAAACTGAGGAAAACTGGGTGGCGCAGCATGCTGTTTCCTCCAGGCCCAAAGGAGCATCCTTTGTTTGTAATTAATTTCAATATAGCAAGGCATTACAAGGGAAACTCAGTAAATTTCAAAGTATGCTGCGAAGCCAATAAACTCCGGCGAACAGCTTCCACGGCGAAGGGGGTGGTGGGTGGTACTAGGTGGGTGGTGGGTGGTGGGCGGTGGGTGGCTCAAACACTCGCAAACACATGGCGTGTAAAATAGATTGTGAATATTGCACACGAGACGCGTGAGATGAAAGAAAATGCTGAAATTTAAACGTGATACACGTGGAGAATGGGCAAAGTTCAGTGCGTCGGTGGGCGCAATTTTCCACCCATCATCACCCACCACCCACCAGCGGCGCATTACTTTGCCCATAAAAGTAGTTAAATTATGTTGACTGAAAAACAGCGCCCTCGCATGAGTGTGTTGGTGTGCGTGCGAGGGCGTGGCACTGCGGGGGCGGTTGGCTGGTTTGCCAAGGCTGTTGCCACACAGACACAAACACCGATTCGTATTTGTGCGCCAAAGCAGATAAAAGTAACTCGCACTCGCCATTTTAGTTAAAATATTTGCACGTTCGCTGGGATTCCAGGTCCATGGGCGAAACGGGGCAACTGTTTGGTTTGCTGTTCATTTTATTGGAATTCTCGTTGGCATATTGGCGGGGGAATTGTTTCGGTGGGCCCACAGAATCCACCCACGTTGGATTAAACTTTTAAAGCAGTGGGCTAGCAGCAAGCACTAAGAGCTCCATGTGTGCATACGCATCAAATGTTACAACACTAGAATCTGATTACTAGCTGACCCGAAAACGTCAAAAATTATTCGCTAGCTAGTCAGAAACAAGGGAGCAATTGTTAGCCGCAGCTGAGCAACTGCAGCCATGAATCAATTCGACCGAGTGAAGCTATTCCAGCAACAGGACTACGAACTGCCCGAACCGCCAGGCGATTCCATATCCGCGCTGGAGTTCGTGCCGCGATCGAGTTCCTGGAACGCAATCTGCGCCGGCAGTTGGGACAACACCGTGCGCATTTGGGAGGTGCAAGCCGACAGGGCAGTGCCCAAAGTGATGAAGTTCCTGGAGGGCACACCACTGGATATCGCTTGGAACGACTCGGGCAACAAGGTGTACCTGGGCGACGCCAACGGCCTGGTGTCCGAGTGGGACTTGGAATCCAACACGCTGAGGCGGGTTGGAGCCCACGCGCGAGCCGCTCGCACTTGCCATTGGGTGGGCACGAGCTCCTACCTGACCACCACCTCCTGGGACAAGACCATCAGGGTGGGTACTATAGCTACAGCCGTGCTAATACAACGAGTACCTACGCTTACAGTTCTGGGATCCGCGCACTCCCATGGAGCTGGCCAGTAAGGTGCTACCGGATCGCAGCTACGCCGCCGATGTCTTCAACGGAGTGGCGGTGGTGGCCTGCGGCGATCGATCCGTCCTGGTCTACACCCTGCACGGGGAGCCTGTGCAGCAGGAGCAGATGCAGAGCCCGGGAGAGGGCCACACCCAGGTGCGGTCCGTGGCACTGCACCAGAACAGAGAGGTGACCAGCTGGCTTCTTGCCAAGACGAATGGCATGGTGTTCGAGCAGAGCGTGGCTCAACGCACGGGCAGTTTTCCCATCCGGTGCCATCGCCATGAGGGAGCCGGCAGCCTGGACGTCTATGCGGTGCACGAAGTGAAGGTCAACAGGGCGACGAAGCACATTGCCACGGTGGGATCGGATGGAGTGTTCTGCTTCTGGGACAGCCAGATGCGCTCCAAGCTGCTGGAGAGCAGGGTCCATCCGCAGCCGATCACCAAGTGCTCCATCAGCGACGACGGCCAGCTCTTTGCGTATGCCTTGGGCTACGATTGGTCCAAGGGGCACGAGTACTCGGACACCGGCAAAAAGGCCCAGCTATTCCTGCGTCCGTTTGGAACCGTCTAAGTCTGTCCACCTATCAGCTGTATTAGTTATACACGGATTACAGCCCCATCATGTTCCATTTTCTGATTGCAATTAGGTGAGCGCTCCGTCGACTCAAGTTTGATTGAAATATTGCAGCCAATTTCGCATGCAGCTCGAGTTGGCTTCCTGTCCTCCTGAACCCACAGCGCCTCCGCCTGCTGTTATCCTGCGCTTCCCGTTTGGCGACAATTAACAAACCGTCAACTAATGCTCATAATGAGCTTGCATGCGATTAATTTTCCACTTGAGCTGTTGAATTTCACGCAGCCTCTCGGCCTCCTTGGCGTTCCTGGCCCCAACTGGAGTGCACTCCATAAATCATATTCCATTGTCGCTGGCATTCTCGACTGGATGGCTGGCTGCGGTGGGGTCTTATCTGGTCGGGGAATTAGGAGGTGGCAATCGCAACCATCTCCAAGAGCCGCACTTAATGCCGCTTCCCTGCTCGCCAGCTCTGCATATCAGAGACTCACGTCAGATGTCACTAATCTAAATTTATGCAAATTGCCAACTGTCTGAGTTGGCTCACATGCGATTTCCTCCGCCGCCACCGGCGGATTCCAGATGCAGATCCGGCGTACCGAGCTGGAGCTGGAGCTGGAGCTGGAGCTGAAGACTTTGCAACAGTTGTAAAAATGCAGCTAAATTCAAATTTGACATGCAGCAGAGTCGGACTTGCAGCCCAAGTTGGCGGTGGAGGTGGATATCCGCGGACTCTTTTCCACTGCGCTCATTTGGGATGCAGAGCAGCTACCAGTTACCATTTCAGTTGCCAGTTGCCAGTTGCCAGTTACCAGTTACCAGTTGAATCAGCATCAGCTCGCCTGGCAAGCTCTTATTAAATTAAAACGAAGGCGTTTAAGTGCCGCCCCGAGCCACCATGCCACCATGCCACCATGGCCCCATGCCAAGATGCAGAGACTCAATCTGATATGCAAAACATTTTTGAAATAACTCAGCCGTAAACAGTTTCAGCTGGAGTTCCAGTCGACGGTGGCTCCATGTCCCAGCCAAGCTCAACTCAACTCAACTCAGAACTTCTCTCAAGCTTGGCCAAATTAATTGAAAAAGTTACACGCATCGCTAGCTCCTCTTATCCACCACGACTCCTTGTCCCCGCTGGTCCTCCAGACGGGCAGCTCGCCAGAGGAGTCGGAGCCATTCCAGCTGGCCGAAGGATTCGCCATTGATAGGTGGCCCGGTCGGGATTGCAATAGCAATTTATGCATAGAGAGGCCTCGGTTTCGTTTTCATTCAAATGTATCTCGTCAGGGATGTATCTCAGCATATACAAGTTAAACTAGCTGTAAATGGTATAAGTAAACAGAGCGAACTATATTTTATAATCAATATTTTCAAGTCATATCGTACCTGTTACCCTTTCAGCTATGTTGCCTAGCGTTTTGGTTTTTGGGAACCACCCAACTCCATAGCCAGAGCTCCAATCCTAGATGGCTTTGTGCGCACTGCCTTTCGGTTTCATTATCGCGAAAGCGGCACGCGATGCCAGAACCAGATTCAGAACCTGGCCAAAACCGAATGCGAACTGCGAACTGCGAGCTACAGAGCCAAAGTCGCTTTACAAGTCGGCGCGTTTGTAATCGCTTGCAGCTCCATTCTGGCCAGCTGCCACTTAGGTGCCCATATGCAAAGCGACAAAGTGTGAAATTTGAGGGAGGAGGAGCTTTGCCCCCGCATCGCGAATCGCAGGAGAATCGGCGGAGATGGCTGCAGGATGGTTGGATCTGGAAACACACGCGTGTGTCTGCGGGGCAGGATTCCAGCTGACCAGTTGGCCAGTTGACCAGCCGGCTAGCTGGCCATGTTTGCATAAGCCCCAAATAGCCGCGGACCAAGTTCGCTCTGCAGGGTAATTAATGGTGCTCCGGGGATTTGGCAGCTTAAAGGTTAGACTGGAGACTTTGCATGGAAATGTGTTTGAGGTGAGTTCTTTTCCTATGGCTTTAATGTATCCGTGAAGCATCCATACAATGAAGTAAGCAGATCTTTGGGAGACGCCAGGAGCAGCGATAAATTCGCTGGCTGCACAAAGGAGCTTCCTCTGTTGGCCAACATTTGTCAGCGGCTTGCGCCCTTATTTTATTTGCACTTGTCTTCAACTATTCCCCCTTTCCGACCAAGTTGTAACAATTTCAACCTATAATTTATTCAGCTAAATCCTTTGCCGCCACGAGCCAGCAAAACGGAGCGGAGCAGTGAAAATAAATTAAATGGAAATCATTTGTCTTGCTCAACAAAATATCACGCAAATGGGCAAGGGAGGGGAGTGCCGGAATAGGTGGGGTGTTCTACTTGCCCCTCCAACAAGTGGCAGCTCCCAAGGAAATTTGCATAAAGAAATAATATTCATTGTGCGACGGAGGGACAGTGCAAAAAGGATTTGAACATGTCAAAATTGTCCTTGACGCACGCCCAAGTGGATGGGATGATTTCGCCTAGCTTCCACAGCGTTTGGGCCACGTTAAAGAGCTTGTTCTTGGCCAGATCCATTGCTTCGCTTAAAGACGCCCGCAAGTGTGCAACAATTTTGTTGGTTTTTTCTCCGCTGCCGTTTGGTCAGCTACTAAACCTCTGGGCTTATCACAACTTAGCTATGTATCTGCTCCGTTTCAGGGCAATTTTCGTGCGCCACGCCCAGCTAGCCCAACCACGCCCTCGAACTCCGAAACTATCTGGAAATCTCAGACGGGCCAGAAAGGGGCGATTAACAAGATTAAAAGCGCCATTAAATGCTTTGATTTCGTACAGGCTAAGACCACGCAACCGCAGATACGCAAATGTGGAGGGAAAACGTGTGGATATGCGGATGTGCAGATACAAAGATACTTCGGCACCGGAGGTGGAGTTACAAAAGGCGCACCCAATAATTTATCCCCGTACCAGCAAGCGAGCCCGCCCCCAGAAATCTGTTCTTGCTTAAGGGAACACATGTTTGCGGCTGCAGCCCCAGCTGCTGGCCAAATGTATCTGGGCATCCCTCGGATACAGATACGGATACAGGAATGCCAGCTGCTACTTGGCCAGGACGTAAATTACGCAAAATTTGCTGTTAAGTAGTTTAGCGCCAGCGGCAGATACACACGGACACACATCGCATCCCCAGAACCCGCAAACTCTCGGCCGGATTGATTTAGGTGCTGGTTAAGCTCAACACTTGATCCCGACTCGAATTGGAATGGAATTATGTATTTGGGCAGACCTTTTCGGATTCTGAAGGGGATGTGGCCAGCAGTTACGAGTTGGGCTAGCGGAGATGTAGCATTTTTATCCGAATTTAATTTTAATTGTTAACGCATTAATGTTGCCGTTTGTAATTTTAGCATTTGTGTGATAAGTTCGGAGGTGAACAATATTTAGAAACGAAATGAAACCCAATTTTAAATGCAAACATAACGAGATTTAGTTACATGTTTGAGCGGCTGGTGCGTTTCGAAAGTGTAAAAATATTTGATAATAATTATAAATAATATTCGCAAAATTATAAATCATCATAACAATTGGGCAGTACATTCAGGAAAAGCTCCTCTGCCAGCTGCCATTTTCCGGACTTTTCTTTTTATTTATTGATAGTATCCGCCTTAAAGTTTCGTCCTGCGCTGCACCTAAAACATACAATGTTTAAGTGAAATTTATTGGCTTTTTGCAGCCGTTAGCCGGAATTTAGTAATAAATGAAATTCAACAATAGAGCGCACCAGGCCAAATTGCATTACATTCGGCGGCAAAGGGCAGTGGCAAAGTGGAAAGTGGCAAGTGGCAAGTGGCATAAGTGAGGAAAAATAATTTAATGGCGAATTGCAGTGGACGCGGGCGGCGAGGGGCGGCAACTAATTTAAATTGAAATTAAAATTGATTGTTTTTTAAACGCGTCACGTAGGCCATTCCGCGTTCGCGGGGGCTGGAGGATGGGGAAGTGGGCGGCTGGGTGGCAGTTAAGTGCGTGTCAGTGCGAAGCGGAAGGTGCCCCATGTGGCTGCCACGTCACTTGCAACAATGCCGGACAAACAAACAATGGCGCTGCCAAAGTGCGGAACGCTCAGAATGTTCAACAAGCAAACAAATTCGTTAACAAATGTTCGAAATTGCAGCGGCAACACAGCAACAAAGCCGGCAACAATGTTTTAAAACAAAGCCAAAACAAAAATTGAAATTGGCCAGCTATGGAAAAAGCGTTCAACGGGCCAAATAATGAAACAATGCCCAAACAGAAGCGACTATCGGCATGCCCTTCTGTTTCGCGTGTCACATGTATTATGCAGTTCATATTAATTCCTGAACGAAAGTACACATGGAAAAATTGCGTGTGATCTATTCGAATGTGGGTATTTAAAGCACCTGCGATGGAATTTTCGCATGGAATTTTAGGCCAACAAGCCACATTATTCACATTTGTAAATATCTAAAATACATAAAAAGCGCGAATGCATTTTCCAGCGCCGGAAAATTCGGGCGGCTGAACTAAGCCCACTTTCGCATTTTCCCAACACGTGCCGTCGCGCTGTCTCTTTCCTGCCCCAGTATACCGCGCTCTGTCGCACCGCCCACATTTGGCATCCACTCAATTATATTGCGTGCCTGTTAACGCTTTTATTTGTTGTTGCGGGTGGGCGCTGTGGGTGGGGTGTGGGGGCCTCTCGAAATGTATTTTTGGGAAATTGTTGCTAATTTTTTGCGCATAGCCAAATTGAATTTTGCAGCTGCCCCACGTTGCACGGCTTCTGCGATTGCCGCACGTGCAGCTGACCAGGCGCTGCCCACAACACGCGGGCCAGCACCGAAAAGGAAACCCCCTCCACTGGAAAACCCCCTCCACTGGAAAACCCCACCAGTGGAAAACACACCACCCGCCACATGGCCACCACGTATAATTGCCGCCATCATCGCGGGCTCTTATATGGCTTGGCCCTCTTGGCCCGCTTTTCTTGCATATTATTTCACTTTATTTTGGCCCGGCCACTC